AAGAGAAAACTGGGAAGGGGAAGGGAGGAGGATGAAGGTAGGTGGGTTACGGGAACGGAAAGCGTGAAAGCTGCCAATATGTCCACAGAGTCTTATGTTCTCTCCAATTCGTCTAGGCTATTGGAGACCCCAACAGTCCCGTGATGCTCTCTCTCCCCCAGCCACCCTTCCTCAAAGCTGGTTTTTGTTCCTTGTATTGTGTGTTGCTTCAATGCAATGCGAACATTGTCGTCTTTCTTACTTTACAGGCAGAGGTCATTCCATGCTGCCCGGACATTTGGATGGATGTGGTCTGGCCACACTAGTTCTTGGCTTGAATAAAGCCAAAAGTATGCTGCTTCCACTCAAAGTAGTAGCATCTTGCTGTACTAATTATCATCAGCAGTAGCATCATCACCATTCACCATCATCATAATCGTTAGCATCATCAGAAGTGGGACGCTGAGCCCGGTTCTCAGCAAGCTGGGTTCGGTTACTCCGGGTAGACTGTGAGGACCCCAGCCTCAATCATCTTGTCGGTAATATCAGCCTTGGGCACTGGGCCCTGTTAAAAAAAAAAAAAAAGAAAAAAAAAAAAAGGCCTAGCTCAGTTGGTACACCCTTGAACTGTTGAAATACAGGCCAAAGTTCGAATCCAGTCGAAGACAGAGAGAGTAGCATCTTGTTGGCAGACAACCATCATGACACTGGGACACCGGAACAGCCTCCCAGCCTCCCACAACCACGTAATAGCTCAATGTTCAGGGAAGGGCTGCACTTGGGCCGGGCTATATGAAGAGAGGAGCTTAGAACCACGCAGGGTAACTTAGCAGCCCCCCCAATGGGAAAGAATCTACGGCTCCACACGCACTGGAAAAGATTAGATATACGGCCCCGGACAAGATGTACGGAAAATCCTGTTGTGCAACGATGTATCCAAGGGATGCTGGACCGGTTTTCCAGCAGGTGCGGCCAATAGATGGAGCAGCCCAATAGGCAATACCTCAATTCTGGTGGTTCTCTTACCACCACCAGGATAGTGGGCTTGCAAACGGGCTTTGACAAAAAAAAAGAAAAAAGAAAAGGTGTTTTAGTGTCGTAGCTGCAAACAGTTTGAGCTCGTACGACCCCATGCAGCCAGGAAGTCTTCTGCAGAAGCCAGTAGCATGAGCCAACTATCTCCAGTTTTGGGTAGCCATTGGACAGGCCAACGGAGAGTGTTCCAATATTACTCTTGCTGGGGAGGATCTCTTGCAATATTTAGATTGTAGAGATCAGCCTTCTCAGCTCCAAGTAAGACCGTGAGGCCAATCAGCGTGGGGACTTCCCTGAGACAGAAGAGTACCGAGTGGAATGAGCAAAAGGGTGCTGGTGAGGCGGATGAGTCCAAGGTAAGAATAAAAAAGTGTCCGCCACAGGGCATGGTAAGCCCGGACCCGGACATTTCCGGACACTTCCGGACTGTCTTCCGGACCAGTGTCTAGACCGGCCCGGACTGTCCGGGGATCCGGACATCATCGGACACCGGACAGGCCGGACCGGTCCCCTCGGTCCCCTGGGGGCAAAAATGTCCGGACCCAAAAAAAAAAAAAAAAAAAAAAAAAAAGGGGGGGGGGGGGGGGGGGGGGGGGGGGTTGGGTGGGGGTGTTGGCAGGCACTTACCTGCTTTGCACTCTGTAGTTCAGGCAGCAGAGCACGTGTCTTGCAGCAAATCAACCAGCACATTTAACTAGCAGACATGCAGATTTGCAAACAGTGCAAAGCAGGCACAAGACTAAAGAAACAGAGGATTTTTTTTTGAAAAAAGTATGATTAACTTTGAACTTTGGACTTGACTGTTAAATCTGCATACAGGCTTTTAAGACCGAGGGCTGCACTACGCGATCAGGTGCGGGAACGTTGGAGAAACCACCTCAATATCAACAATCAGGAGCTGAACACCGTCCGATGGTTCAAAACAATAAAAGAAAAGCCAGCTAAATGGGCCTCGCTCCAGTGGCAGATAGAGCATCGCTCCCTCCCAACGAATAACTGGCTCATAGACAGGACGTCACTGGAACAACAAGGGCGAGCACTCCCATGGTGTAAGCTTTGCACGAGTGCGTTCCCCCCCCGGAAACACCCAGAGACAATCGAAGATATCTTCCTTCGGTGTCCAGGGGCCCTCTGGTTATGGAGATGATGGGATAGAGTGTGGGAGCAACTGGAGACAAAAATCCAGTGGCCAAGGGACTGGAAGGCCCTGTTATGTGAAACTTGGCCAGCGGACCTGACAGAGCAAATGGGCGAGTTCACAGCAAACTTGCTTAAGCTGGGGCGGCGGGCGATCCTCTGGGCTCTGTGGCACCGACGTTGCACCTTCGAACTGGAGGGGGCACGATTAGAAGGACCTGAATTCACGGAGAGCGTCCAACTACAGATCCAGACAGTAATAACGGCCAAGTGGAACGATGTTAAAGCACGAATCCAACTGCTTCACAAACCAAGAGAAATCAAACAACAAATTCAAAAGTTCAACTCAAACTGGCTTGGGGATTCAAAGGGAGGGAGGATAGGCAGGGTGGAATGGCAGGGAGAACCTACAGAACCTGCAGCAACTACAGCAGTGGAGGAAGACCCAGCAGGAGGGGAGATCACAAGAGATTACCGCCTGCATTTCAATGAATGGACCACAGTGGACGCAGCAATCCCTTTAAAATCACCAGACCACTTCCCAGATTTCTTCCCCCCCCCATCCAACTGCCTGGTGGATAGGATGAGGTCTGGAATGGACTTGCCAGGGAACTAGGTGGGAATAGAGGGAGTCACCCTGGGACACTGCAATAGCTAGAAGGTGGATTTGTACAATCCAGGGCAGACAACGCGAGCTGCCACTGAGTTTCCCGGGGGAGAATGCAATAGCTAGAGGGAGGGTCTGTACAATCCCCCAGATAGCAGGTCAGTCATGGTTAGCTGTCACTGTGCTTCAAAACTGGGCTGGTAAGGGAGGGAGGAGCTAGAACATAGTAGTACATATCTGGCGCCGGTTCCCAGGTGAAGAGCCCCCCCCCTTTCCTTTAGCCCCTGATAAGCTAATCCCCCCTGGACTCCAGGGCAATCATTGCCAAAGAAAGAGAACAAAGGACACTTCCTAGGATCCCCACTCAGCCTGCTCAGTAAATCCCCTGATTGCGCAGGGTAATCAATGCTAGCAGGACCAACAGCTTTCCTGGATACTCCAAACTCTCCTGATTATGTGACAAGGGACGCTGGACCCGTTTTCCAGCAGGTGATGCTCCCTACCAATAGATGGAGCCTCTCCTCTCTCTCTCTCTCTCTCTCTCTCTCTCTCTCTCTCTCTCTCTCTCTCTCTCTCTCTCTCTCTCTCTCTCTCTCTCTCTCTTTTTGTGTGTGTACATCTAGATGTGTATAAGAGACAGGACATGCTCTCTCTCTATAATAATTTATTAGAC